CCTTTGAGCTGCTGGCTTTGTTCGTTCGAACGGCTCCTGCAATCAACTGATCGAGGGATGCCGGCCGAAATGGTGCTGACAGCGGGACCCACTGTGCGAATTCCAGCCAGCTCATCAAGAAGTGCCTGAAATTCATAGTGTATGGCCACCTTAAGCTGCCCAGGGACCAGATTAGACGCAGTGTGCCGCCCCAATAGGGGCATAGAATATGAGATGCATAGCCTCAGTTAATATTAGCATTGTCATATAGGTTAGAATTTATATAGTGTGATTTGCCTAACTATTTTCTCATAGCTAAATTCATGTGTTATCCTATGCTGCCATCTAGTGGCCTTTTGTTGTAATGTACATGTTTTTCTGTGATTCTTTTTCTGTGATTCTTTGTGATGTCTACGATGTATTTCCTCTCTGTATGTAGCCCCACCCTTCTTCCTGTGTGCAGTACTTCCTGTGTCATGGCCTCAGTTAAAAGCCACATGTAACAAGGACACACAGGTAATCTGCACAGTACGTAGGAAAGGCATCATTTTCTGACCGCACAATACTATAACCGTTCAACTGCTGTTCCTATCATCTGCTGTAACCCTGATGTTAAAGAATAAACACCTCTTTTGAATGAATCGGTATTGACGAGTTCAGCTATCTGACGAGGATTGTCCGCAGTGAGTATATCTGCTTATACAGGCCAGGCATAGAGGTCTCAGCAAGGGATATATTTCGCTATCACAACGATCGGAGTCAGAATACGCAGCCTTTTTTTTTTGCATGGTTTTATTCTTGCCTACATATGTTTTGAATATATGACTTCTTTGACTTCCTTTTTCTATTAGCTGCCGAAATTTACCAGAACGAAATGAGAGGTACCGTAGGGATGGTGAGGTCATTAGTCAGTAGTTCTCTATGTAATATTGTAAGATACTGAACAGTTGAATGGGAGACAACTATTTGCTCCTTGTAAAATTATGTCCACTCTGTTTATCTATTACCGTATATACTCGAGTATAAGCTGAGATTTTCAGCCCATTTTTTTGGCTGAAAAGTGCCCCCCTCGGCTTATACTCGAGTCAGCGCCAGGTGTCTTCTTACTTACCTCGCCGAGCGTCGCGTCACTGCTGCTCCGGTGTGCGGCGCTCCGAGCGGGGTCATCTGGCAGTCTCCGGGTACTAATTTAGGTGGCCGGAGACTGCCAGATGACCCCGCTCGGAGCGCCGCCCACCGGAGCAGCAG